TGAGTATACACGTTTAGTTAATATTTTGCATGCTGCACAGCGAGTGGCACGTGTGTTTTATATTATTTAAGGTATGACACTATGTCGAGTTTTTTTCTTTTGGAGGTGTGCGAATATCAGGATTTGCGGGTATTAAGAAGGTTTTGGTGGTGAAAGAAGAAGAAAAAGTTTAAGTTTTTGTGTTACACTTGTGAGGATTATTTTTTTGGATTTTTGTTTTTATTTTGGACACGGTGGGACTTTGGACATAATTTTTATATAATTTTTATAATTTTTATATTTTTTAATTTTTTGTTTTTATTTTATTTGATTTGATGTATTTGCTCATAGAAAAGTCACATATACATTGTTTAGCTGGCCTTCAAGGGTGAAGGTAGATCACTTTTCTGGGATATTATAGGTTTAAGTGTTGTGATATAGAAGTATAAGTGCCTATCAGTGCCACCTCTCAGTGCCGCCTATCAGTGTCATATATGAGTACTGCCTTTCAGTGCCCACCAGTGATGCCTGTCAATGCCCATCACTGCCACCTACCAGTACCTCCTCATCAGTACCATCTATCAGTGCCCATCAGTGCAGTCTATCAGTGCCCATCAGTGCAGCCTCATTAGCGCACATCAGTGAAGGAGAAAAATCACTTATTTACAAAATTTTATAACACAAACCAAGAATAAACTTTTTGTTTTTTCAAAATTTTCACTTGTTTTTTGTTTAGCAAAAAATAAAAAACCTCGAGGTGATTAAATACCACCAAAATAAAGCTCTGTCTAAAAAAAATGATAAAAATGTCATATGGGTACAGTGTTGCATGACCGCGCAATTGCCATTCAAAGTGTGACAGCGCTGAAAGCTGGAAATTGGCCTGGGCAGGAAGGGGTGTAGAAGTGCCCGGTAGGCAACTGGTTAAAAACGCACATGCAGAAATGCGTCCAGAGCGGATCTAGAGAATGTTTTTGTGGTGTGAATTGACCCTCAGTGCTGGTTTACACTGGTGCGGTGCGGCACATCGCATGCAATTCATGCAGGAAACGCACCGCATTCCTGTGCAAATCACATGCAATTTCTGTGCAGTGCAATCTGAGCCATACATTTTGTTGCTGTTTTGTCACGTTTAGGAAATGTGTAAGTCACACTTGCAGTGGATGGCGGTAAAAGTATTACCACCCCCCGGCTGCTTACTTGAATTCTAACATTACTGCCTGACATGGCTGTACACATGCTGTGATGCCTCGCCTCGCACGGTATGCTCTAGAGTCTGGTAGGCGGCACTGTCTGTCAAAGTCGCTCATTGAGATCGCTGGGGCTGCATTGCAAATGTGAGTGACATGCTTGCCTCGCAGTTGTGGCGCGGTCCTGCAACATAACATTTGCCGTTCTTTTAAAAAAAGTCGAAAAAAAAAAAATCAGGCAGCAACAGTATTACTTCCTGAAGGCCTGCCAGCCGCCCTCTGACAGGAGATATACTGCAGAAGATCACTTTTCAGAGGGTAGTAAGTTTACCGCCGGTCTGAAAGAGACCCTAACCCTAGGTTCACACCTAAGCGTTTTCTGCAGCGTTTTGCAGAAACGTACAGCAGTCCATTTGACATGATTTCCTATGGGACAGATTCACATCTCCGCGTTTTCACCGGTGCGTTTATTTGAAAGGATCGGGGACTTTCTTAATGCAAAACGTTGTGTTTTTGGTTCTATAGACTTCAATAGAGACTCTGCAGAAAAGCATGTAGTGTGTTTTTGATGTGTTTTAATCTGCCCAGCAACAAGTTGGAAAAAAAAAAACGCATCAAAAAAGCATGTGCAGAAATGCAAAACGCACTGCAGAAACGGATCAAACGCAAACTGCATAGGTGTGAAGCGAGTCTTAACCACTTCCCATCCGGCCAATGTATATAAACGGCCGGACAGGAGCAGTGCAGGGGCGGGTGGGGGAGCGTGCAGCACCACGACCCAGTGCCCTCTGAGTCCTCCGGACCCAGCGGAACACTGATTGCTGTACGGGATCTCTGTGTGAGGTCTCAATCATGTGATCGCTGATTGGCCAATCAGCGATCACATGAAGAGTAGTAAGCAAGATGTCACTTCCTGACATCATTGCTTACTACATGTGAAATCTGTGAATGATCACAGAGATCACATGGTACAAGGCTATTCACAACAGCCTTGTACCATGTGACAAGCTGTGACCAATCACAGCTCTCACAGTATTTCTCAATGGCTGCAAGAATGCAGCCAGAGAGGAGAAAATTATTGCTTTTACAGCCTTTATGGGTGTAAAAGCAATCAGTGTAAAAAAAAAAATCTTCATCACCCCCCAAGTAGTACAGTGTCACTATGGTGACACTGTACTGCTAGGGTGACAGTATGTAAAAAAAAAAACCATAAATAATATAAAAAAATAAAATAAAAATGTAAAAAACTTTTTTGAAAAATTATAGTTTTTGGTTATAAACTAATTTGGGTTATTTTTTTTTTTTACTAAAAAGATAACTGATTATTATTATTTATATTTAAAGAATATAAGGGTAATACACTATATTTAGTTTATATTTTTTTGAGGTACTCTGGATCTGGAGTGGCGAATTGAAACAGATATTGTGTGGATTGAAGACTTATTTTGGACATTTGCAGTGAGGACTAATAGGTGTTGGTTATAGGTATTTAAGAAAAGGTTTATGGTGTGTACTTTCAAGGGTGAAAGTGTGACTTTTCTTTTAATTATTGATAGAGGAGAGTTTTCTTTGATGAATAAATTTTAGCCAAGATTTATGAAGAAATATTATTTATTTTCAAAATTTATTATAAGAAAAACACATTTTTTTCAAAATTTTAGGACTTTTTCATTTATACAAAAAAATAAATAAAAATCCCAGTGGTGAATAAATACCACCAAAATAAAGTTTTATCGGTCTCAAAAAATGCTAATAAATTCATATGGGTACAATGTTGCATGACCGCGCAATTGTCATTCAAAGTGTGATAGCGCTGAAAGCTGAAAATTGGCCTGGACAGGAAGGGGGTGAAAGTGTCCGGACTGGAAGTGGTTAAAGAGGAGGAGTCTGGCTGGTGTATCCTGTACTGGAGGACACTAGCCCCCTGCGTATTCATGGTGATTGGCTATTACATTGTTTATGGCTGCATAAAATAGATGTATATGTGGGAGTACTTCCGCCTGGCAGTACTTGGGTCGTCAGCACCACCTGCCTGGAGTTTGCATGTTCTCCCTGTGCCTGCATGGGTTTCCTCCAGGTACTCCGGTTTCCTCCCACACTCCAAAGACATGCTGGTAGGTTAATTGGTTCCTGTCTAAATTGTCCCTAGTATGTGTATGTATGAATGTGAGTTAGGGACCTTAGATTGTACACCCCTTGAGGGTTAGGGACTGATGTGAATGTACAATATATATGTAAAGTGCGGCGTAAATTGACGGCGTTATATAAATACCTGAAATAAATACATTTCTAAGCCATGGCACTGAATGTGTTTCCTTTTTTTTTTTTAGTTAGTACAGGTATGGTGGCCATACACTAGAAGAAAAATCGTTCAAAAATCTGTCATTTGGACTGTGCATTCATTTTTTTGTCCAGTTAACGGGCACAAATCAGTAGTGGAGTTTTTGGGCCAAAAAAAAAATCGAAGGAAAAGTTTGGAGAACTTCTGCAGAACGGACGATAAATGGAAAGGTCAATGTGTTTCTCACCAGTTAAATATCGAACTGCGAGTACTGCGCATATGTGACCCAGAGACATAAAACTGATTAATTTATGTCCACTGAACGATTTATTGTTTGAAATTCGGTCATTACATGATGGAAATATGGTTTGCTCAGCCCAGGTTCACATATATGCGGTGTGGTATGTCGCATGTGATTCGCACAGGAACCGCACCGCATTCCTCTGCAAATCACACGCAATTTGTGTGCCGTGCGATCGGAGATGTACATTTTGTATGGTTCTAATCGCACCACAAAGGTGCAGGACCCTTTTTTGGGTCTGCACTAGAATCGGATCGCATGGATATTCACACCTATGCGATCCGATTCTGCACATTGCACCCCGCACACCCACAGTGGTTCGCATGAATGGAGTGCAATTCTGATGCGGTGCGGAATTCGCACTGAAAACGCTGAGAATTCCGCACCGCATCAGGAATTCCGCACTGAACCAGGGCTCAGTGTTCGTTTTTCGAAAAACGCATTTGAATGATTTTTCGACTAGTGTATGGCCAGCATTATCCTGGATCCTTCATGTATACAAACAATAGAAGACGGTATTCGCTGAAAGGTTTATAATGATGTTGACAATAATTGTAAAGAGAGATTGGATTGCATGATTGTTGGTTCTGTAAAAGAAATGATTGGGGGAAAGAAGGCAAAACTTTTTTTTTGTACTTTTGGATAGAGTAAGTGTCGCTTATAACCCGTCAGATATTTTTTGCCATCTGTGTCCCATTGGGGAGATTTCCATTCACTTCCGGTCCCATAGCCAAAACAGGAAGTGAGAGGCAATCACTCCAGAGCAGGGGTAGGCAACCTGAGAGCCACAGGACTACAAGTTCCATCATGCCTCTGCAAGTCATAGCTGTCAGTTTTATAATCTTTGCAATGCCTCATGGGAAATGTAGTTCCACAACAGCTAGAGAGTCACAGATTGCCTACCCCTGCTCCAGAGTGAGGGAATCCCATAACTAGTGTCCCCATTGGAAGATTTCCCTCAATTCCTGATCTGGGACAACCCCACATTTGGGATGTTCTTTGACTTTCTTCCAATCTCAGTGATCGGGGTAAACAGGCCCATGTCAGAATCTGCTTGTTATTATACATGCAATGTCCTCCTGATGAATAGCATTGTCAGTATGAGGGCACATCCTTCATAGAACAGGGAATCTCCCGCCCTGCGCAGTGAAGGTGTCAGACATATCCCAGCTCGCTATTCTCCTCCCACAATGCACGGCGCGGGGACAAGATGGCGGCGCCCAGTGCAGGTCTGGGTTGCCTTGGTAACATGCGGTTTTGGCTCCGCGGTGTGTCTAGGCCGCGGGGCCCCCGCTCTCCCGTGGCTCTGCTCATAGGACTGAGCCGCCTCTGCCATACGGGGGCGTTACCGGAGAGTCACGTGCTGCCCTCCTGCCAGGCCGCCATGTCCCGGGTGAGCCCCGGCCTCCGCCTGCAGACTGACTTCATCACCGGGGAGGAGGAGCAGGAGCTGTGCCGGGAGCTGGAGCCAATCCTGAGGAAGAGGAGATACGAGAGCGGCCACTGGGACGATGTGAGACCCCGAGGGGAGGATTGGGTCACTAACTAGTACTACTACAGAGAAGGGAGGGGCTGTGACTGCTACTACAGAGAGGGGAAGGGCTGTGACTGCTACTACAGAGAGGGGAGGGGCTCTGATTGCTACTACAGAGAAGGGAGGGGCTCTGACCGCTACTACAGAGAAGGGAGGGGCTCTGACCGCTAATACAGAGAGGGGGTGGCTCTGACCGCTACTACAGAGAAGGGAGGGGCTCTGACCGCTACTACAGAGAGGGGAGGGGCTCTGACCGCTACTACAGAGAAGGGAGGGGCTCTGACCGCTACTACAGAGAAGGGAGGGGCTCTGACGCTACTACAGAGGGGGCTCTGACCGCTACTACAGAGAAGGGAGGGGCTCTGACCGCTACTACAGAGAAGGGAGGGGCTCTGTCCGCTAATACAGAGAGGGGGGGGGCTCTGACCGCTACTACAGAGAAGGGAGGGGCTCTGACCGCTACTACAGAGAGGGGAGGGGCTCTGACCGCTACTACAGAGAGGGGAGGGGCTCTGACCGCTACTACAGAGAGGGGAGGGGCTCTGACCGCTACTACAGAGAGGGGAAGGGCTCTGACCGCTACTACAGAGAAGGGAGGGTCTCTGACCGCTACTACTGAGAGGGGAGAGGCACTGACTACAAATACTACTACTGAGAAGGGAGGGGAACTATTGCACAGAGGGGAGGGGCTCTGACAACTACTACTGAGAAGAGAGAGGTACTGACTACTATTACTACAGAGAGAAAAGGGGCACTGACTACAACTGCCACTGGGAAGGGCACTGACTACTATGACTATAGAGAGAGAAAGGGCACTGACAACAACTACTACTACTGAGAAGGGAGGGGCACTGACTACTGCTGAGAAGGATGGGCACTGACTGCTACTACTACTGAGAGGGGAGGGGCACTGACTACTACTACTACTGAGAAGAGAGTGGCACTGGCTACTACTACTGAGAGGGGAGGGGCATTAAATACTACTGAGAAGGGAAGGGCGCTGACTATTACTACTACAGAGATGGGAGGGTCACTGACTAAAACTACTACTACTGAGAAGGGAGGGGCATTGACTACTACTACTACTGAGAGAGGATGGGCACTGCCTACTACAACTGAGAAGGGAGAGGCTCTGACTACTTCTACTAGTACAGAAAGGGGAGGGGCTCTGACTACTACTACTGCGAGGGGAGGGGCATTGATTACTTCTACTACTACATAAAGGGGAGGGGCTCTGACTGCTACACAGAGGGGGGCTCTGACTACTACAGGGGGGGGCACTGACAACTACTATTGAGCTGGAAGGGGCACTGACTCCTACTGCGAGGGGAGGGGCATTGACTCCTACTACTAATGAGAGGGCCGGTCATTGACTACTACTCCTACTGAGAGGAGAGGGGCACTGACTACTACTGCGACTGAGAAGGGAGGGGCACTGACTACAACTACTACTACTGAGGAGGGGCACTGACTACTTCTACTACTAGTACAGAGAGGAGAGGTTCTCTGACTGCTTCAGAGATGGCAGAGGCTCTGACTGCTACTACTGAGAGGGGAGGGCCTCTGACTACTACTACTACTACTATAGAGAGGGCAAGGGCTCTGACTACTACAGAGAGGGGAGGGACACTGACTACTACTATTGAGCAGGAAGGGGCACTGACTTCTACTACTGAGAGAGGAGGGGCACTGACTACTACTACTGAGAGGGGAGAAGCTCTGACTACTACTACTACCGAGAGGGCAAGGGCTCTGACTACTACTACCGAGAGGGCAAGGGCTCTGACTACTACTACCGAGAGGGCAAGGGCTCTGACTACTACTACCGAGAGGGCAAGGGCTCTGACTACTACTACTATAGAGAGGGCAAGGGCTCTGACTACTACTACTATAGAGAGGGCAAGGGCTCTGACTACTACTACTATAGAGAGGGCAAGGGCTCTGACTACTACTACTACCGAGAGGGGCAAGGGCTCTGACTACTACTACTACCGAGAGGGCAAGGGCTCTGACTACTACTACTATAGAGAGGGCAAGGGCTCTGACTACTACTACTGAGAGGGGAGAGGCTCTGACTACTACTACTATAGAGAGGGCAAGGGCTCTGACTACTACTACTGAGAGGGGAGAGGCTCTGACTACTACTACTATAGAGAGGGCAAGGGCTCTGACTACTACAGAGAGGGGAGGGACACTGACTACTACTATTGAGCAGGGAGGGGCACTGACTACTACTACTAAGAAGGGAGGGGCTTTGGCTGTACTACATCTAAAGATGGATTTCATAGGTCTCTGCTTGGCTCACTGTGACAGGCGTGTGAACATTGCTTGCTGCCCGTTGGGTGTACAAAATTAAAGCAGAACTCCACTGTTTTCTTCTTTTTTCTTTTGGATATCATGGAGATGTGTTTGAACAAAAAACAAACAATCAAAAACCCATTGAATTGCTGCCTGCGCCCTGGCTGGAGGGATCTACAGTTGGAGAGATCCACAATCTTTGCTGGTGGCAGTTGTCAGCAGAACAGAAAATAGAGGGAAATCCAAAATGCACATGCAGTCCAGTGCGGGATTTTTTTTTCTGCATTGAAAAACGCATGGAAAGTAGGTTATAAGATCTCCAATGGTATAGCTCACGCCAGTGCTTTCCACTTCCAGGAAAAAAGCAGAACATGTTGCTTTTTTCTCCTGCACTAAACTGTACTGGAATGTGGTCAAAACGCACCGGAACACACGGTCTTATTTAACCTCCCTGGCGGTATGATTATGTCAGGAATTTTGTACCAAAAGCGGTACCATTTTTTTGCATGGAAATTTGGTGTTATGTATTGTAGGCCTGCAATTCTTAGTAATTACTTACTTAATAGATACTCATAAAAAATAATAATATAATAATAATACATTTAATTCAATAATATAATCAAACCAAAAACACTGAAATTTGAAACAGAGAGCCAAGTTCGCACACCACTGAGCAAAGTCGCAAAATTGTTTCCAGTGTCTGATGAGGAATTTCCCCCACGAATCATTATCACTCAATTCTGCAAGTGGTTCTGATTTACTATCGCTGTTCTCTAGCCGGTCTAAAACCGCTTTTGACCTAAAGGGACGCTTTTTGGACGCCATGGACGTTTCTCAGTTTCCAGGCAGAAAGAACAGTAAAAATGCAGGCAGGGCACAGGACAAAGCACTCGGGACAAAATGTATGTGAAATTCTTTGATACAGGAATGTTTTGCTATGAAATAATCGTTTTTAAAAAAATGTCATTTTTTAAAAATTTTCAAATTTACCACCGGTTCCGGCGCCCGTACGTCACGACGTCACAGGGACCGGAACACGGAAGCCAGATGCCGGAGGAGATGGCCGGGGACACTGCAGGGGACGCATCGCGGGAGTGAAGGACAAGGTAAGTGCTGCAGGGACTCCCTGAGCAACGCCGCATGGTAAGCCCGAGTGTAGCTCGGAGTTACCGCTTTTGGTACAGAAACTTTACCCCGAGCTACACTCGGGAATACCGCCAGGGAGGTTAAGGGGAAAAAATGCATAAAAAATGTGACTGCAGAAACACATCAGTAATGCATTCAGACTGTTTCTATGGTGTGAACCGACCCTTAACCCTTCCATAATTTTACCAAAACAAAAGAGACATTGGGCTGGAGGTCTTAGGTGGGCTAATCATTTGTGAAGCACCTAATTACCTGACAGCCATTATTTTTATAGTCTACATTAAATGAAATAAAGGGGGGGGGCTGTAATCATTGGATTTAAATATAATCTATAACTCCAGCCTCCTTTATAGGGATCTTCCCAACACCTCAAAGCAGCCATTCTCATCGTGGGTTCCTCCAGAGGTTGCAAGGGGACCTCCTATTTGTAGGTGCCTGGACAGGTTTGGGGTCAGTACCAATTACAGTAGCCAGCTGCATTAACCCAGTGATTTTTTTTTAACTGAATGGGTAGCATTTTGACTGCCACTATAATGGAGGCAATCTTCCCACTGACCACCAACGTAAAGGGGCATTATTGCCATTTTCCTCTGATGAATTGAGTTCCTGTGGGATTAGAAGGTTGGGAAGCTGTATACAACCCACCCTTGGGGCTCATGTACCCTTGCTTTGACTTTAAGGCCTTCTTGATTCCTTTCAGTCTGGATTTCGCCCACAACACTCCACGGAAATGGCTCTCTTAAAACTCACAGACTTACTCCTAGATTGTAAGCTCTAACGAGCAGGGCTCTCTGTTTCCTCTTGTACCAAATTGTATTGTAACTGTAATGTCTACCCTCATTTTGTAAAGTGCTGCACAAACTGTTGGCGCTATATAAATCCTGAATAATAATAGTAACCCCCAGCTCTGCTGATCCCCCACTCAGTAGTAACCCCCAGCTCTGCTGATCCCCCACTCAGTAGTAACCTCCAGCTCTGCTGATCCCCCTCTCAGTAGTAACCTCCAGCTCTGCTGATCCCCCTCTCAGTAGTAATCCCCAGCTCTGCTGATCCCCCACTCAGTAGTAACCTCCAGCTCTGCTGATCCCCCTCTCAGTAGTAACCTCCAGCTCTGCTGATCCCCCACTCAGTAGTAACCTCCAGCTCTGCTGATCCCCCACTCAGTAGTAACCTCCAGCTCTGCTGATCCCCCTCTCAGTAGTAATCTCCAGCTCTGCTGATCCCCCACTCAGTAGTAACCCCCAGCTCTGCTGATCTCCCACTCAGTAGTAACCCCCAGCTCTGCTGATCCCCCACTCAGTAGTAACCCCCAGCTCTGCTGATCCCCCACTCAGTAGTAACCCCCAGCTCTGCTGATCCCCCACTCAGTAGTAACCCCCAGCTCTGCTGATCCCCCACTCAGTAGTAATCCCCAGTTCTGCTGATCCGCCACTCAGTAGTAACCTCCAGCTCTGCTGATCCTCTACTTAGTAGTAATTTCCAGCTCTGCTGATCCCCCACTCAATAGTAACCCCCAGCTCTGCTGATCCCCCACTCAGTAGTAACCTCCAGCTCTGCTGATCCCCCCCCTCTCAGTAGTAACCTCCAGCTCTGCTGATCCCCCTCTCAGTAGTAACCTCCAGCTCTGCTGATCCCCCTCTCAGTAGTAATCTCCAGCTCTGCTGATCCCCCATTCAGTAGTAACTTCCAGCTCTGCTGATCCCCCACTCAGTAGTAATCTCCATCTCTGCTGATCCTCTACTTAGTAGTAACCTCCAGCTCAGCTAATCTTACGCTCAGTAGTAACCACCAGCTCTGCTGATCCCCGGCTCAGTAGTAACCCCCAGCTCTGCTGATCCTCTACTTAGTCGTAACCTCCACTCCCCCACTCAGTAGTAACCTTCAGTTCTGCTGATCCCCCTCTCAGTAGTAACCTCCAGCTCAGCTGATTCCCCCCCCCCCCCTCAGTAGTAACCACCAGCTCAGCTGATCCCCCCCCTCCCTCAGTAGTAACCACCAGCTCTGCTGATCCCCCACTCATTTAGTTACCCCCCAGTTCAGCTGATCCTCTGGTTTGCTGGTACTCCTCTTTCTCTGGTCCTTGCCCACCTCCCACTATATTGCTCCCATGCTGCAAACCATATGTGAGATCTGCTAGTTTCTCTTGCTCTGGTCCCCCAGCTCTGCTGATCCTCTTCTGCTCAATCCTATCTGTCCAGTCCCCGCTCAACTACAGATTTAATCTCCCCATGTTGCTCACTACATGTGCCATCTGCTAGTTGCTCCACTCCAGTCTGGTCACTGCTCACCTTCCTACTGCAACAGACACTTCCAGAATATATACACATGAACTGGAAGTGACTGCTGATGACATCGTTCTGGTTCGTTTGTTGGTTTCCCAGTGCATCCTGGGATATCTCAGACCTGCAAAACAAAATAAAGCTAAGTCTAAATAAAAGCCCCTCAAAAGCTGCAGATGCTGTTAGTGAGCTTTGTCATAGACATCTATGGAGGCTTTGGAGATGCTGTGCAGCACCAAGAAAGTGACATGGGGTATCATTTTAAAAACAAAGTAAGCAGCAGTGTGAACAGGACTGTAGGTAACCATTTTAGTGAGAGGTGCTTAGATTGGAATTCAGACTGCTTTAAAAAAGCGTGTCAAATGCCACATTTTGAAGCTAGTGTGAACAAGCCCTTAGGGTTCCTGTACATTGGAATGTATGCTCCACCCAGCCTGGCCAGGATTTAACTCCATTCAGCTTATAGTTATGCTGACAGCCAGACCATGTCAGGTTTTCCTCCACCGTGGGCTCAGCCAGATGTGCATCAGTGAAAGTGAATAAGAATTGCTTATATGTGTAATGTGTCCTAGGGTGCCCATTGTAGAGTGCTGTATAGTAACTTATAGTGGTTGCCAACATAGCCTAGCTTGACCTCTATGTCGCTATGGACTACATTCTGCGATGTTCTGGTTTAATGTCTGTAATAATGTATTGGAGCCAAGGAGCAAACATTTTAGCCACACAACATACATTTTCAGAAAGAGGTCATGTTTGGCAGCCCATCTTAACCACTTGCCGTCCGGCCGCTGTATATAAACGGCCGGACGGTGGCAGTGCAGGGGCGGGTTGGCGTTCATAAACGGCGCCCGCCATTTTGTATTGTGCGCGCTCACTGGGAGCGCGCAGTACCGCGAACACCGATCGCTGTATGGGACCTCTGTGTGAGGTCCCGATCATGTGATCACTGATTGGCCAACAGATTGAACAGTAGTAAGCAAGATGTCATTTCTGACATCATTGCATACTACGTGTGAAATCTGTGATTGATCACAGAGATCACATGGTACAAGGCTATTCACAACAGCCTTGTACCATGTGACAAGCTGTGACCAGTCACAGCTCGCACAGTATTTCTCAATGACTGTAAGAATTGAGCCAGAGAGAAGGAGAAATGATTGCTTTTACAGCCTTTATGGGTGTAAAAGCAATCAGTGTACAAAAAAAAAATCTTCATCACCCTCCACAAGTAGTACAGTGTCACTATGGTGACACTGTACTGTTAGGGTGACAGTATGTTAAAAAACAAAACAATAATATTAAAAAAAAGTAAAAACATTTTTTTGAAAAATTCTAATTTTTGGTTATAAACTAATTTGGGTAATTTTTTTTACTAAAAAGATAATACATTTTGGCCAAGATTTATGAAGAAAGATTATTTATTTGCAAAATCTTTTTTTCAGAATGTTTGGACTTTTTCATTTATATAGCAAAAAAAAATAAAAATCCCAGTGGTGAGTAAATACCACCAAAATAAAAGTTTTATCTGTCTCAAAAAAATGCTAAAAAACTCATATGGGTACAGTGTTGCATTACCGCGCAATTGTCATTCAAAGTGTGATAGCACTGAAAGCTGAAAATTGGCCTGGACAGGAAGGGGGTAAAAGTGTCTGGACAGGAAGTGGTTAAACAAAGGTTGACTTGCACTTGACAACAGAACAGAGTTTCCATATACTTGTATGAACAGGTATCAATGCTTCACAGACTTTCTTTTGTTTCTTCCACTCTAGGCAATCCATGGGTTTCGTGAAATTGAGCGCCTGAATTGGTCCCCGGGCTGCTCGGCAGTGCTGCAGAGGGTAAGAGAGGAAGCTTTCCCCTCCGGACAGGCACAACTGTCCCTCGTCCATGTCTTGGACCTCCAGAAAGAGGGCTACATCAAACCTCATGTGGACAGTGTCAAGGTAATAATGACTGATGGCTAGAAGCTTATAGTCCTTGCTTAAACCTTTATAATATACATTTGTTCAGTCCAGACTGGCTACTGGACTTTATTTCTGAGCTGATTAGAATTCTAGGTCATGAATTCTTCTAGCGGTGATGATAACCTTTCTTTCTCCTTAGTTTTGTGGCAACACCATCGCTGGGATATGCCTACTCTCCAGCAGTATCATGAGACTGGTGTGTGTCAATAGTCCAGAGGAATGGGTGGACCTGTTGCTTCCAAGACGCTGTTTGTACATAATTAGGTGAGTTGAGAATTAAGCTTGCCTGCCTAGCTATATATAAAATTACAATATATATTAAAAACAAAAAAGAAAACATAGTGTCTACATTTTATATGTGTTTGCATTGCTAACATTGTAAAAATGTATTCTATGCTGTGTAGTAGATCTTCCTTCAATAAAAAAAAGTAATAAGCAAAAATGTTTTCCTACAATAAGCAGAAATAATATCACCTTAGTGTAAAATATCCTTTGTGTTGTAAACAATGCACCTATAAGTTGTCCCTATTAACAGGTTCCCGCCTGGCTTATAGCCAGATGGCGACCTGCAAAACCCCTCTTCCCTCTGGGTGGATGCCGTATGGTGTCCTTTCGGGCATGCGCAGTTTGCATGCCAGCAGAGACACGCAGCGGTGTGATCTGTCACCAGCCGTGTACCTCGGACACGGCCGATGACAGATCTGAGTACCGGCCCCGTTGCCGGTACCATGTGACCTGCTGTGACCAATCACAGTACAGCGCCATGCCAGTTATATGATGACGCTGTACTGCACTGGTGACAGTATGTAAAAAAAAATAATTTTTTTAGTTTTTTAATTTTCCGAAAAATTATGATACAAAAAATACAACTTCAAAAAACTTGCCATTCCTCTTATGAAGTACGTCGGACTGTCTACTCTGCAAAAAGGGGTCATTTGGGGATATCTGTACTATTCTGACATTCTTGGACCTCAAGAAATTAGATTGGCTGTCAGTACTTCAGGATTGATCAATATTCAGATCTATCCCATAGTTGGTGAACTCTATAACTTTCCTATAAACTAAAAAATACATCCTAATTTGGGTTATTTTCACCAAAGACATGTAGCAGAATACATCTCGGCCTAAATTTATGAAGAACAATTATTTATTTGTAAACTTTTATAAACAGAAACAAAGAAAAATGTGGGGTTTTTTTTTCAAAATTTTTGGTCTTTTTTTATTAATTTAGCAAAAAATAAAAACCCCAGCGGTGATTAATACCACCAAAACTCTAGTTGTGTGAAGAAAATGATAAAATTTTAGTTTGGGTACAGTGTTGTATGACCGCGCAATTGTCATTCAAAGTGTGAGAGCGCTGAAACCTGAAAAGTGGCCTGGGCAGGAAGGGGTAAAAGTGCCCGGTATTGAAATGGTTAACTCCTAATGTTTTGCTTCTCGACAAAGTTGGGAGTTAAAGTGAATCTGTGGCAAGAAGCAGAAAGAGGAGCGCCACATACACCAGTTGTAGACACCTGTAGGTGAATGTACATGGATCTCTTGTATAGAACCCCTTCAATCAGGTGTAGCCTGTCCTTCAACTACTTGGCCAAGCTTTTCAGTTATTGATGGTGGCTCCATTCCTGTCTCAGTGACATCCACTGTATGAGGGAGCAGTAGTGGATGACAATTAAAGGATAACTTCACCTTTCATAACATGTTATACCCATATTCACATCCCGTACAGGCAAGCAGATATACTGACAGGTCTGCAGGAGACCTGTATGGCACCAGTGATCTGCTGATCGTTGGTGCAATGGTTCATAGGCCTCTGCAACAAAAAATAATAAATGCACATTTTTTTTTTTACCTGCAAAAAAAATGTGCATTTATTATTTATTAGCAAATGGTAAACTTGTCCTTTTAAAGTGTAATCTGCGAACTGCTTTCTTTATGTGTTTGAGTTCAAGTGTTCAATTAGTGGCACAGCATATTAATGTTGGCTTGTGTTTAGAATTGACAGTATAACCATACAGTTTATAGTGAGAAGGGACTAAAGGAATCAAAAAGCCCCAAAGGAATCCTAAAACCCTAAAACAAGAGGATTATTTCTCATTTCACAGTTTAGTCTCAATGCAGCATCAGCTGTATGGTTATACTGTTGAGTCCCAAGTCCCTACTCCATAGAAGCCATGATGAGGACTTAAAGGCCTGAAACAGCTGTATACAGTTTGTAATAAATTATAAATGACCGTGTGATATTAGGCTATATTCGGTCTATAAACCAGCGGTTCTGGAAGTGCATATGGCTGACATAATTATTTGCTTGACTCCGCCTACTATCCCAGAATGAGGAATAATCCTCTTATTTTTTAAATATGTGATGGAATGCGGCAATGTGAATACCTTTTGTTCTAAGAAGTCTTTACTGGGCTACATACTGATTTGGTTGAAGGGCTTTTTTGATTCCTTCTCACTGTATCCTGTATGGCAGGGGTGGGCAACTATGGCCCTCCAGCTGTTGGTGAACTACAAGTCCCATCATGCCACTGCCTTTGGGAGTCATGCTTGTAACTGTCAGTTTTGCGATGCTTCATGGGACTTGTAGTTCTGCAACAGCTGGAGGGCCACAGTTGCCCACCCCTGCTGTATGGTTATACTGTTTTGTAACCGAGACAAAGACTTCTCCAAGCTAAACTCTACAGCAAGTGTCCCAATGCAAAAAAAGGAAACACTGGTCAATTTTGCCAACTCTGAATGTGTTTTTAATTATTTTTTTGTCTTCTTTATTTGTCAGTGGTACTGCCCGCTATGACTTTACTCACGAAATCCTACGTGATGAGGAATCTTTCTTTAATGGCGAACATGTGGAAAGAGACCGGCGTATCTCTGTCATCTGCAGAAATCTGCCCGCCAGTTGATGACTCCGTGGGGTGAGAGAAGGACTTTGTGCCAGGCTGTGGCTGCATTGTTTTACTTGATACCTATTCTACTCTCTACTGGATCCCATCCCCGATCAGTGTGTGGGAATGTCCCATGATAGACAAAATTGTGAGGGATTCACGGCTTTATGATGATCAGAAACTATCATTTTTGAACGCCAATTTGTTTATAATGTTGTTGTTGGTATTTCAGATTTCTTTAATAGGATCGTTAATGTGTGTCTTATCTTAAATTGCTAGAATTGTACAGTCCAGTTAAAGTCTCACATCTTTTTTCCTCTCCATAGTCCTGTACTGCCATATATTTTGATTTTTAATTGATTTTTGCTTCGAAATGCATTTTTGTTGGACCTTACACTACAAACATGGTCTGCTGTTTACCTATGCTCCCCCTATCCCTTAGGGAAACACTTGAAATAAAATTAAAAACCTGACCTGTAGGGGAAGAAAAAAGAATTTGATCCTCACTTTTCCTCCAGCTTCCCTTTGCAGGGGGTTACATCATCATTCTCCAGCGAGGTCCAGCAGAATGCTGAGTACCCCAAATAATGCTACAGGTCTGCTCAGGATCATCTTCTCACGAGACTTGGAGTACCCTACATCAGGGCTTAAAATTTCAAGTCCTGAGCTACTAGCCAGGCCTTAAGAGTTACTCGCTACCAACAAACACAAGCAAACAGAGACACCTGTACACACATACAGACATGTACATACACACACACACAGAAACATGTACACACATGCACAGAGACACATGTACACACAGACATGTATACACACACAGGCACGTACAGACATGCATACACACAGATACATGTACATACACAGAAATACACACGCACAGACACATGTACATACACACAGACACGTGTACGTACATACACACAAACACACCCACACATGTACATGCACACACACAGACACATGTACACATGCATGTATATACACGCTGACACATATACAGATACACACATGTACATACACACAGACATATGTACATGCATACACAGACACACACACACACACCACCCCCATAAAAAGTTGCAGTACTTCGTTGTTCACTCACAGAGCCGGGTACTGCACTCTAGGGGGAGGCAGAGAGCACAGCACACACTCCTTTCTTTGCTTTCACTGCGCTCATCTGACGGCTCCCAGTGCCAATGACAGATCCAGCCTGAGTTCCGAGCCTGCTCAGCAAGACGGCCCAGGGGGACACACTCGCCCCCCCCAGCATAATTTCCACTCGCCATTGGCGAGCAGGCGAGTGGAAATTTCAAGCCCTGCCCTACATTCCCCAGATCTCACTGGTGGAAGGATAACATCACTCATGTCTATTCGCTGGAAAGTTGAGTATACTATCTATTTTTTCTTTTCCCTTACATTTTTTTTCCAGACTTTTTTCCAGCAGTTATGCAAAGGGCAGAAGGAGGATGTAACCGGCAGACCAGCTTTAAAAAAATGTTTTCACCTAAGTGGAAATGTAGTTTCTGCTCCTCCATTTTTAGTGCTGTAAGGCGGAAGCCACTTGCAATGGGGCACTTGTGCGTGCGCTCCTGAGCCTCCCTATCTGCATCTATTGACACAGATTGGGTGACTCCGCCCCTGCTCCCTTGTCATAGCATTTGATTGACAGCAGTGGAAGCCAATAGCTTCCGCTGTTACCAATCTGTCCATTGAGGAGGGAGACAGTTGCAAGGGCCGCTACTCTCGTGCACATCGCTGGATCGGGCATGGGTAAGTATAAGGGGGGGCTGGGGGGATCTTGCAGCACAGAAGGTTTTTTTACCTTAATGCATTAAGGTAAAAAACCTTAAAGTGGTAGCAAATCATGACCTTTTTTAACAAAAAAAAAACAAACCTGCAAGACAATGGCATAATGTACTAGTATGCATCGAATACTAGCACATTATGTGAAACTTACATTAAAAATAAGCCCACCAGCAGCTCGCTGTCACCGTTGACAGGACTTCCATCTTCACCAAGTTCTTCTTCGGGGTTCGTGGGCTCCAGCAGCTTGATGGCACGATGACATCACTCCCACGCATGTGTGCAGGAGTCACTTTTTACGGCACACAGCTCTGAAGGAACGGCATGGGCATGCCATTCCTTCAAAGTACATGTGCCGGTGCTCTATAGGCTTACCTGTAGGTACAAGTACAAAAACTGACTTTACTGCCACTTTAAGGATTAGAACCACTTTCATTTAAATACAAAGGATACAATTTTGAGAGCAGTTGTTGCTGTTCCTTCTTTTTTTTTTTTTTTTTTTTTTTTTACATAGTGAGTTACTGACCTGGCACAAGCATGTAAATATGAAGTGTCTTCAACATGTATGCACATGGTTATTGACTGCAGGTTATTGAGGTGAAGAAAAGTATGGCCACATAACATGCACCTTCTTTTGTGACTTCTTTTGTGTATCTTTCCTGACAAGTCCCCTTTTTACGACAGTCTGTGATTTGCACACATAAGTGACAGCCATTTTTATTATAAAATACAACTTAAAGCGGAGCTCCACCCAAAAGGGGAAGTTCCGCTTTAAGGACTGCTCTCCATTAAGGATTGGCACCTTTGGGGGGTGGGGAGCGGGTACCCAAATTTGACAGGTACCCACTCCCACTTCCAGTGCAATCGCCTAGGCGACTGGAAGCGAAAGGTGTCCTCCCTCCCTGTAGTCTTTTGGGACATGTGACAGGTCCCAGAAGACTACAGGACCATTCATGAAGCGCAGCGCTTCTCGCGCATGTGCAGTGGGTACCCGGCTGTGAAGCCGCAAGCTGTCACAGCCGGATGCCCTCATTCTGAAGATGCCGGCCTCCTGGAATACAGGACGGCCAGTAAAAAGGGCTGCGGGGGACACACCACGGGACCGAGGGACAGGTAAGTGGCTGTTTTTTAAAAGTCAGCAGCTACAGTTTTTGTAGCTGCTGACTTATTTTTTGACAGGGTGAGTGGAACTCCACTTTAAGGAGTGTGATCCACCCAAAACTAATTTTTTACTGGATGGATGAATCATTACAAGCCTCTCTCTGTGACTACATTAATGTGTTCTTAAGTTCTCAACTTCACCACCATTTCAAAACTATTGTCGATCAGCAGCCGCAGCCACCGATTAGTGTATTCTGACAGCTCTGGGTCTCACTGTCAGTATACGATGTTCCAGCAGAGAAGATTTCTCCATCCACCTCATTTGTGTAGATGGAGGAATCTGTTCATCTGCTGATCGTGGGTGCAGTGCTTTGCAGGTCCCTGTGGAACAAAAAAAAAAATACATATTTGTTTTTCTTCGTCAAAGAATACTGTACGTGCATTTCTTAATTTTTTTTTTCTTATCCTTAAAGTTAATCAACCCCATTGTACAAACCACAAGATGGCTACATGTTGCTCTTAGCAGCCAGTCAGGTTCTGCAAATGTAGAGAAGAAGATGAACTGAATAGGTGAATAGGTGCCTTTACTTTCCTTTGTACAGATAAGGTAGTTTCACAATGGGCAAGAAAACCTTACCTTCCTGTTTCATGTCTAAAGTGCCTTTTATTATCAGTCTGCTAAATACGCTGTAATAGTTCAGCTTGCATAAAGGGGGCCTGTAATTCATTATAACAGAATGTGGGCAGCACAGTGGCTAAATGGTAGGACTTCCCCCTGGCAGTACTAGGGTCGTTGGTTCGAATCCCAGCCATGGCACCACCTGCCTGGAGTTTGCATGTTCTCCAGTGCCTGTGTGGGTTTCCTCCGGGTACTCCGGTTTCCTCCTACACTCCAAAGACACGCTGGTAGGTGAATTGGCTCCTGTCTAAATTGGCCCTAGTATGTGTATGTATGAATGTAGGTTAGGGACCTTAGATTGTACGCCCCTTGAGGGTTAGGGACTGATGTGAATGTACAATATATATGTAAAGCGCTGCGTACATTGACGGCGCTATATAAGTACCTGAAATAAATAAATAAATGTGCAACTAACACAAATCTTAAATAGCTCACAGCTCTCAAGGTACCTGGACACATTTATAGACTTTTGCAAAGCTTCTCCTTTTTGCCTTGGAAGGCACTGAACCTGGCTGTGCTTCGTGTTCAACCAATGCACTTCCAACTCAACAGCCTGCCATTCCAAAGTACAATGCTTGCACACCAAAGATCTTGAGGGGAATTTATAAAAACTGCTAAATTCTCCTGTCCTTTCCAGCCGAGGAAGCTGCTATCTTAGCCCCTTCAGTTGCCATCATGCTGCACATGTGATCAGTGATGACACCAGACAGTTTGATGGTTTGACACTTCGTTTGACAGCACAAGCAAATGTGACAGTTATCATTCATGGTATGCCTTGTTTTGGGAGATAGTTCAATTGATGGGTTTAATTCTGCTTTAACCACTTCAAGTCCGGACATGTTTACCCCCTTCCTGTCCTGTGCTATCACACTTTGATAGCACTGGACCTGTTTCAGTGCTATCACACTTTGAATGACAATTGCGCAGTCATGCAACACTGTACCCATATGAGTTTTTTTTAGCATTTTTTTTGAGACAGATAAAAACTTTATTTTGGTGGTATTTATTCACCACTGGGATTTTTTTAAATGAAATGAAAATGTCCAAAAATTTTGAAAAAGTGTTTTTCTTATAAAATTTTGCAAATAAATAATCTTGCTTCATAAATCTTGGCCAAAATGTATTCAGTTATCTGTTTAGTAAAAAAAATAACCCAAATTAGTTTATAACCAAAAATTACAATTTTTAAATTTTTTTTTTTTTACATTTTTATTTAATTTTTTTATATTATTATTTGTTTTTTAACCTACTGTCACCCTAGCAGTACAGTGTCACCATAGTGACACTGTACTTATTGTGGGGGGGTGATGAAGATTTTTTTTTTTTTTACACTGATTGCTTTTTTACACCCATAAAGGCTGTAAAAGCAATAATTTCTCCTTCTCTCTGACTGCATTCTTGCAGCCATTGAGAAATACTGTGCGAGCTGTGATTGGTCACAGCTTGTCACATGGTACAGGGCTGTTGTGAATAGCCTTGTACCATGTGACCTCTGTGATCATTCACAGATTTCACAAGTAGTAAGCAATGATGTCAGGAAGTGACATCTTGCTTACTCCTATTCATGTGATCACTGATTGGCCAATCAGTGATCACATGATTGGGACCTTACACAGAGGTCCCGTATAACGATCAAACGATCAGTGTTCTGCTGTGTCCTCTTGACACAGCGGGCACCAGATCATGGTGCTGCGCACTCCCCGGGAGCGTGCACAAGCAGGGAGGATGTTTAGAAATGGCCACCCGCCCCTACACTGCTCCCGTCCATCCGTTTATATACATGGGCCGGACAGGAAGTGGTTAAGAACCTCCCCATTCCAAGCATCAGCTTACAGATCAGGGCTTCCCTTTACAAGCCTGTCTTCAACTTTCAGCTGGCGAGGTGGCAGCATTATATGAAGATGGCTTTTAAAATATTTTACAAGCTGGATTGAAATTTGAGTTTGTGACTTTTTAAAGACTCCACAAGCCAACAAAAGGGTGCTGTGATATGTTTTCCTGGAGCAATTCAGAGTTAGCCACAAGTGTGGTGTATGGTGATTTAAACCGATTAAAAAACACACAGTCCTCTTAATCAAAATCCTCTTTATTTGTCTGATTTTGCAACTGAATTAGAATGATAAAGGTATAAATATACGATGATTGTTGTAATTGTTTTGTCTGCAATAGAATAAATAAAATAAGTTATCTATTTATAAAATAAAGTTTTCTTTTTTTAATTCCGGACTGCTAGAAGCGCTGCTAGGTAATAGGTAATGGAAGCCGTTCTTCCTGCACGTTATTACTGCTATGTACTCGTAACCGGGCTGCGTCAGATGTGAGACATATGTATGCTACATGAGCAATTTCCTGCAGGATCTCATTAGCTCAGACTTAGACCGCCTGTTTCTCAGAAGTCTGCGTGGGAGTACATGTCACGGGACTTGGTGCAGCTGGCCGGTCACAGAGGCTTGAGAGGCACAGGTTGTGTAAACCCGTATTGTGAGTATTTATTGTTTTTTTAATTGTCCGGTATGTATACAGTTCCAGCTATTTACATAGTGCTGTACAAGTAAAATCATCCCTGGAGATGGGTAAACCCACCGCAGCTTAGCACGGACTTGATTGGGTAGTACCCTCCTTCTTGCACAGTGGTCAGGTGTGCTCATTAATTAAGACTTACCCGAAGCTTTGTATCCGCATTTTGTACTGGGGAGAATAGACGTGGTCATACAAGAATCAGTGTACGAGCACATTACACGTTCTAGGCCAAAAAGGATTGTTCTAGAGCTTAGCCACATGCTTAAAGTAGAATTCAAATTCTGACTAAACCTAAACCTACTCCTATCCCCCATTCTAAGCCTATTCTAGCTACCCTGTAAAAGAATAGATGTTTATACTTGCCTATTCTGAAGGTGGTCCGGTCATATGATTAGGTCCCAGCACCAGCTTCAGTGTAGAAGAGAGGCATCGACAATGGCCGCAGAGCCTAGGGGGGTGACATCACACGTAGGCCTACCATGGGGCATCCGTTGTGGGCTCTCTCCTCTACATTGAAGCCGGCGCTGGGACACATCATGTTACTGGACCAGATCACCCTCAGAATAGGTATGGCCCCATGTACATGGGACACTTCTGAATGATGGAAACTGTTGAAAAACGTAGGTTAAAAAATGTCTGTTTGCCAAACGCGTTTATGCACGCTTGCATTTAGAAGCGTATTTTAAAGATAAGCACAAGAGAACCTCCTAAAATGCCCAGAATGCACTGAAAAGTGGTAAATTATTAACTATTTCAGACTGTTTCAGAGAAATACAGAGAGTAGAAGCAGAGGCAGCAGTATGTGTTGAGATTAGCTTAGGTGGGAGTTGCTCATTAACATTTCTTTTGTTTCCAAGGATGGGAAAGGTGTCTGGTGGAGGGAGTCATTAAGGGCACCTGGCAGGGGGTCTTCATGAGAAATTTGAGGTGTGAATGTCCATTAACATATCTTTTGTTTCCAAGGATGGGAGAGGTCTGAGGTGTGAATTGGTCATTACCATGTGTGACAAGCTTGCTAGGAACATCCTGTGTTCAGTGTTTTGTCCATCTGAGCACCTTGAAAACGCTTTGCATGCATTTTTCATGCTGAAAAAAGGCTCTGGACAGCATCGGGAACTGGAAGAGTTAAAAACAAATTTCAGATACAAACGCTTATAAACACGATTTGCTGCGTTTACCCGCTTTTACAAGCCTTTTGCATTTGAAACGCTGATAAAATCGACTGCTGAACGCATGTTTTCTGCGTTCAAAAAAAACGACTGTAAACTCAAATGCCTGTAAACGACTGTGTACATGGACACATAGGAAAACATTAGGGAGAGTTCAGGGGCTGCTGAAAAAAACGCTGAACAGCTCCTAAACGTGAGTTTATCATCCGCAGTGTACATGAGCCCTAAGTGTACACATCTTTTCTTTTTACAGGGATGATAGAATAGTCTTAGAATGGGGGTAGGAAGAGGTTTAGACTTAGAGTTTGACTGAAATTGGAAATGAAGTCAAGTGCTGACAGGTAGGCTTTTTATGACAAAAGAGGCCGTGTCAGTGTCTTCTGTCATAGATGCTTCATCCCAGCACTTTTTTTTTTTTGTGTAAGTGTACACTGAGCCATACATGCACAGTGCTTCGTGTATAATCACGGTGCAATTCTGTGCCAGGGCTTACTACCCATCCCAGCAAATTCAGATTGCTGGAAATTCCAAACAGGATAGAAGACACATTATATACCCTGTTTCCCCTAAAATAAGACCTACCCTCGAAAATAAGACCTGGTGCTATTTTTGGGAATTGCTAAAGTATAAGACCTACCCAGAAAATAAGACCTAGTTGTGATCTGGGCTTTTTTTCAGCCGGAACATGGTGGAACGCCATTCCACCACCTCCGGCACTGGCCCTGCGCACACCCATATCTACTGTCTCTTATAAACACAGAAGCGCGGCTGAACTGACCGCACCATCCGCTTCCACAGAACCTCCCTACCTCTGTACTCACTGTGGGACAGGGAAGGAGCAGATATCTGCGGGAGCAGTATGCAGTGTGTTTAGGGGTGGGGCATCTCCTCCTGCAGCCTAATGCATGGAAGCCGATGCCCCAGGGGTGATCACCGGCCAGTGGGGAAGAGGCGGAGCAGTGAGTAAGTGCGCTTGGTGCACTGTGTGGGAAGATAGGACCTGAAACGGGAGTTACTATAGAGAGGGGCCGACTGCTGACAGCTGTGTTTTGCGAAGGTAGCTAACCATATGAGGACAGTGGAGGGGGAAGGGGGGGGGGGGGGGTTATGCAAAGGTGAGCTGCAGTCAGGTGGTGCAGAGGTAAATTGAGTTAGGTGAGTTGCAGACAGGGTGCATAGGTGAGCTGCGGCTGGCGGGGTGCATAGGTGAGCTGAGTTGCAACCCACCTTTGCACCCCCCCCAGCCACAGCTTAGGTCTGCACGCCCTGGCCACAGCTCATCTCTGCACCCCATGGCCACAGCTCAACTCTGCATTCCTCGTCTGCAACTCACCCCTTCACCCTGTCTGTGGCTCATATCTGCACCCTGTCTGTGGCTCATATCTGCACCCTGTCTGTGGCTCATATCTGCACCCTGTCTGAAACTCACCTGTCAGTTCACCTCTGCAACACCTGACTGCAGCTCACAACTCTCATAAACCAGCCCTCTCCATAGTAACCCCCATCCACAACTGCCTGCAGCTCACCTCTGCACCCCCTGTCCACACCTGGACATTTAAAAAATAAGACCTACTCCAAAAATAAAACCTAGTGTGTTTTTTTTGAGCCAAAAAAAATACAAGACAACGTCTTCAGTTAGTGGCTATTCAGTTATGTTCAGCCCTGACTAACCCATACACTGCCTTCATAGGTATGGTAATGCCTTTGGTCTCACTCCACCATCTGTGTTTAACATTCAAACACTTGTTTGCCCACAGGGCCAGATTACCAGTTTTTTTTTTCCTTCACTCCTGTCCTGCCATGTATATTCTGAGAGGCAGCTATATAGATTACATTCATTAATATAGTTTCTGTACTGCTGTGCTCTATAGTATCTCTATTGTGGTCCGGCACAGTCAGCCAACACAGCCACATGCTGCAGCAGAAAGCTTCTCCACAGTATGCCACCGGTGGTTGTCGTCCAGAAAGGCCACGTCTTCATAATGCGTGGGTCGACAGCAAGGTCCACTGAATATTTTCTCCTCCAGGAGGGAAGGGAGGTCGCTTTTCTGTAACAGGCGGGACAGGATCAAATCGTGGTTGGTACGAGATCTAGGACACCCTCCACTGCAGTACTTGAATAGTACGGTCTCTTCTGAATCGTACCCAAGTCCTAGGTCACCCACTTGAAGAAGTAGCGTCTTCTGGCGGCATTCTCGATCCTCTAAACGTAGCCGACTTCCAGCCTGCGCCAGCCTCCTCCTGAACCGTGGACGTGGACCACTGCCAAGCAACGAAGAGAAAAACACCAGCATCTATGAGGAGACACAAGTAGTACAGAACTGCTAAAAGGAAAACCACAACTTCTGCAAGTTTTTGTGCAAACTTCAATAAACCATATTCAGCAATCTGATTTCAACCCTGCTTGTTTACAGAGTTAATAGTATATTTTTATTATATTGAACATAATAAAAACCAATGCAGTAACATGCAGTAATGGACACTGTATTCCTGCTGAAAATTTTCAATTTACAAAATTGATATGGTATCATGTCTGTTCTCTCTCTCGCCATGCATTTCCCTTTGGGTTGCATGTCAACATCTGTGAGAATTTCAGAAATTTGGGTGTGACAAGTCACTGCTCTGTGAAGATCTTCAGTTTTTAGGCTTTGTTGCCCCAGACTTTATGTTGTAAGCACTAAATCTTTAAGCAGCTTTCTTAAGCCTAGGTATTTTTACCTACAGGTAAGCTTATAATAAAGGTTACAGTGCTTGAAAAAGTATTCGTACCCCTTTAAATTTTCCATATTTTTTCATGTTACAACCAAAAACGTAAATGTATTTTCTTGGGATTTTTTGCAAATGTGGCACATAATTGTTAAGTGGAAGGAAAATGATAAATGTTTTTCAAAATTTTTTACAAATAAATATCTGAAAAGTGTGGCGTGCATTTTTATTCAGCCCCCTTTATTCTAATACTCCTAACTAAAATCTAGTGCAATCAATTGCCTTCAGAAGTCGCCTAATCAGTAAATAAAGTCCACCTGTGTGTAATTTAATCTCGGTATAAATACAGCTCCTCTGTGAAGCCCTCAGAGGTTTGTTAGAGAACATTAGTGAACAAACAGCATCATGAAGGCCAAGGAACACACACAGACAGGTCAGGGATAAAGTTGTGGAGACGTTTAAAGCCAGGTTAGGTTATAAAAAAATTCCCATGTTTCAGCATCTCATGGAGCACTATTTAATCTATAATCCAAAAATGGAAAGAGTATGGCACAACTGCAAATCTACCAAGACATGGCCGTCCACCTGACAGGCCGGGCAAGGAGAGCATTAATCAGAGAAGTAGCCAAGAGGCTTATGGTAACTCTGAAGGAGCTGCAAAGATCCACAGCTCAGGTGGGAGAATCTGTCCACAGGACAACTATTAGTCGTGCACTCCACAAACCTGGCCTTTATGGAAGAGTGGTAAGAAGAAAGCCATTGTTGAAAGAAAGCCATAAGAAGTCCCAATTGCAGTTTGCAAGAAGCCATGTGAGGGACACAACAAACGTGGAAGAAGGTGCTCTGGTCAGATGAGACCAAAATTGAAATTTTTTCTCCCCGTCTTGCAGGCCAGCACCCTTGAGAGACCTCGGCTCCTCCCCACCAGAGAAAACACCACCGCCACCCAGAATAAAGTGTGGCCTCCCCACACAGACCTCAGTAATGGTGTTTCCTCCGGTGGGGAGACACGTTGTTGGAAGCCCTTCCAGGGTGGTCAGGGGACCGCGTTGTGCCTGGGAGATGGGTATGACCGGGTGCGGTCCGTGTTCTGTGCCCCCCTAAGGTGAGGAGGGGGGGACCCTGTCAACCCTCTTGGTGCAGAGGGGGGTGTCCCTTACATCCTGTTCTCTGGCCCGTACACGGACCCTGGGGCGGACCACCATTACAGGCCATGTCTGGAGCAGAGGCACCGGCACCAGGTAATGCCGGCACCAGACAATCTCAGGTAGGTGGCTCAGAGGAGCCTCTTCCCCTACCTGTTTGGCCCCTAGTTCCAAGGGGTGCCCTCAGTCCTCCTGGTGGTCAGAGTGACAGGGCAGGGGGTGGGTGGGGTCTCAGCTTAGGAGATTTCCACACCCTGCCAGGCGCTGGACAGAAAGCGTGTGTAGAGAAGGAGGGGGGGGCAAGTTGGCTATGGTATATTAGGAAGCCTGTTTCTGTGTATTCTGTTTTTAGGTTAAAGTCAAGGAGAAGCCTAGGCAACACCATGGGACTAAATAGAGGTGCCCTTTATGCAGAGTGACTCTCAAAGACTCCTGGACGAAGGTGCTCTGTGGGTCTTGTATAGAGGGCCTTATTAGGGAGGAACCCCATTCCCAGGGGGGCCTGGCTAAGTCAGTTAGGGGGGAGCTGATGGCTACTTTTGATTCCTTTAGGTCCTTTGTGGAGAATTTATCTCTGCCTCAGACACAGAGCTCCCTCTCCCCCCGCCCCCCCAACAGACCGAGGCAGCGGTCCTTCAGGTTTCCCCAGCGATCAGTAGGGAGGCAGGGGGGTCCGAAGGCTCAGTTTAAATGAGGATCTGTCCCTGGACTCAGATTCCCAGGCTGACTCTGAAGGGGTGAGGGTCCCTCTAGCAAGTCTGGAGGCACCTCTAGATAGAAGTTGTCTCTGGAGGAGGTCAATGACTTACTGGGAGCCATTTATACTACCTTGGAGATTAAGGAGGATAGGAAGCCCCTCACGTTGCATGATCAGATGTATCAGGGTATCGGGGAACAGAAGCATAGAGTCGTCCCAGTCCACGAAGTTCTATTAGAATCCATAAAGAAGGAGTGTCAGGACCCGGACAGGGAGGAATATTGGGGGTCTCTCTCCCACTGTGGGAAGCAGTGTCCTCCAGTCCTTTTATACTAGGTATAGTGAGGAGGGGTACCGCCTAGAATTTCGGAGACCGCCAGCGCAGAGGCTGTCAGTGAAGGGACTCCCAAAATGTGCAGAGAAGGCGTCAACCTTGCTCTCTTTGCAGAAACTGGAGGAGAGCAGAGGGTCATCATCAGGGTCCCATCCACAGAGATAGACGAGGGATTTTATTCCCATGTCTTTGTTGTCAGAAAGCCCTCAGGGAAGTACAGGCTCATTCTGAACTTCAGACCCTTGAACAAGACCATAAAATATAACAGTTTCTGTATGGATTCAATAGTTTCAGTCAGGTCTCTTCTTCCCCCCCAACTGCTTTCTGGCCTCAATAGACCTAAGGGACGCCTACTTATACATCACAATTGCCCTTTCAGAGATTCCTCAGGTTGGCAGTGCAGGGCCCCAGGAGAATACTTCACTGGGCTACAAGCTGGATTCCGCCCTTCAGAAAACCTTCCTTCCCCAGGTGAAAATTCTGAAGTTAGACAGGGGAATAAGGTGGCTGCTAGGGAATCAGGCTGTGTCCCTAAGAGAGTCCATGTTGGTATTAGGCCTACTAACATCTTCCATCCCAGGTGGTGCAGTAGGCAGGGCTGCATTTGCGGCCCCTCCAGCTGTTCATTTTGAATGTCTGGGATCAGCGTGTCTCTGGACTCCTTGGTACAGGTACCCCCCCCCAGGTGAAGAGAACTCTCTGGTGGTGGAGGAGGTCAGCCAATTTAGCTCAGGGGCCTGTTATGGGTCCTTCCCATCTCCAGAGAAGTTACAACGGACGCGAGTGGCAGAGGTTGGGGAGTGCACCTAGAGGGGTCCATGGCGCAAGATTCTTGGCTACCAAAAGAGGGTGGCAGATCCTCGAACTGGAAAGAACTGAAAGCAGTGTTGTGGTCCCTTGTGGCCTTCCAGGACTGGCTGCGGGACATCACATGTGGGTGCTCTCAGACCACTCCTTGGTCGTGGCGTATGTCAACAGACAGGGAGGGACACGAAGAAAAACTCTGGTCCCTTGCCACGGAACTGCTCACCTGGGTTGAGGCCAATGTAGCCTCCCTATCTGCTGTCCACCTGAAGGAGGATTTGAACCAAGTGGCAGACTTTCTCAGCAGAAGGCAACTGAGGGAATCAAAGTGGGTGCTCAGTTGGGAAATTTAGCAGACCATCATAGGGAAGTGGGGGTCTCTGTCCATAGACCTTTTCGCGTTGGGCCAGAATGCCAAGGTCTCTTTTTTTTCTCTCCCTAAATCGTTGGTACGGGGCATTGGCGGTGGATTCACTAAAGCAACTGTGGGACTTTTCCCTATGTTGCGCCTTCCCCCCAGTGTCCTGGGGTGAGCAAATTCAGGTTTGAGTGAACTTCCCTGATCCTGATAGCCCCGAATTGGCCCAGGTGGGCCTGGTTTTCTACCCTTGTGGCTCTTGCTGCTTACCCTCCTTGTTGCCGTGCCAAGAGGATCTTCTTTCACAGGGTCTGGTCCTTTGTCCCCAGGTAGGTAGGTGGAATCTAGCGGTCTGGTTTCTGAAGAACAGCTGCTGAGGAGGAAAGGGTTTTCTGCTATTGTAGTATCCACCCTCTTAAATAGTAGAAAGGAAGAAAGCCATTCAATCTACCTTTAAGGTCTGGAAACTTTTTAACAGATGGTGTGCCCAGACTTCCTTGGAAGTGTATAGTCTAATTTCAGTTCTAGAATTCCTGCAGGCTGGGGTCGACAAAGGGCTATTGGTGAGTACGCTAAAATGCCAGGTCTCGTCTCTTAGCGTATTCCTCGAGTCGCTCTTAGCCAGGGATGAGCTTGTGGTGAAGTTTTTTTAAGTCTCCAACGACCTGCTAATCGGCAAAGCTAATGGCCACTATTCAGTGCTCCTACTCCTTGACCTCTCTGCGGCCTTCAACACAGTCGACCACCCCCTCCTCCTCAAAAAACTACACTCCCTCGGCCTCAGAGATTCTGCTCTCTCCTGGCTCTCATCCTACCTGTCACAACGCTCTTTCAGCGTTACCTATAATGCTACCACCTCCCCCTCATTCCCCCTCTCTGTTGGGGGTCCCTCAAGGCTCTGTCCTCGGGCCCCTTCTCTTCTCCATCTACACCTCCTCCCTTGGCCAACTCATACACTCTCACGGCTTCAACTACCACCTCTATGCCGACGACACACAAATCTATCTCTCAACCCCCCACCTCACCCCCTTGGTCTCAACCCGAATCACACACCTACTGAGCGACATATCAGACTGGATGTCACTCCACTTCCTTAAACTGAACCTCTCCAAAACCGAGTTTCTTGTCTTCCCCCCCAGCCCGGACACCACCCCCCATTGACTTCTCTATCACATCCAACAACGCCACCATCAAACCCGCCCCGCAGGCCAGAGTACTTGGTGTCATTCTGGACTCCAACCTATCCTTCC